TAAATTTGTTAATGTTGTATTTGTAAGACAAAGACTTCACATAGTGAGTGTAACGTCCTCTTAAACAATATATAAGATCTTTGCTCAAATATAGGTTTATAGACTTAAAAGATACTAGAGCACAATATTTGAAATACAATAAAATTAATTTATCAGACATAAATCAATTTTTTATTAGTTAGCTTCTTATAATGGTATTTTCTATGGACTATATATTTGATCTCACAATAGAAAAAAAAAATAAAAATAAGTAAATGTAAATTGATTTTAACTTAATCTTTCAAGTTGCTAAGAATTTTATATTTTGCTTTCAATTTATAGGTTTCTAAACATATGTTTAAAATACCTTATATTTCCGTTGACACGGCATCATGCCCTTCTGATAGTTACCAGTACATAAACTGTACAACTGTACATGAAATCATGGTTTATTGTGACTGTTGTATTAACATAGGTTTAGAAATTGGAATTTAGCACGCTTGCAATATGAGCTTTCTCAACTTGTTTATTAAGTATTTCTTTTATATTTAGTAATCTTTAAAAAATTAAAAAAATATTTCTTAGACAAAACCTATAATACCAGGAATTGTATTTTATTTAAGAAGCATATTGAGATATGAAGTAAATAATTAATGATAAACTGGACATGTTAAATTTGTTACTCACACTTGCAACATGTTAGATATTTACATTACTGTAATATTATTAACAAACAAAGTTTATACAATTATTGTAGGCATATCTTACCAATTTAAGAAATTAATTACATTTACTAAATACTACCAATACATAATTAGTGAGAAATAGTGTTTAAGAACATTTAAATATATAGATATTTTTATTTAAAAGTACTGTTTATAAAAGTTGTATAAAATATTTACCTTATTTATAGGTGTGTATATATACAATATATATTGATGATGGTACAATATAATATTTATGCAACATAATTGTAAGTATTTCGGTCTTCTGGTGTGCGTGCTAAATATTCTCTTTCGATTAAGCATTCGATACGTTTCTTAATAAGAACGGGCGAAGGCATAAACCTCAATCTTAATTGTTCAGTTACCTCCATAATAAGTGTATTGTGTGTTAACTTTTTACGAGCTTTCATAATGCGAACGAGTGCTGCTTCTATTTCATGTTTTCGATCTTCTTCAACTTTGTCTTTAGTCTTCCTCCGCTCTGGCTCGTTTTCTCCTTTGGTAGTAATTGACTGGATTTTAACACGATACAATTTAGAAGTATATGACTCGTTGACAGAAAATTCATGATGAGGTTCAATCTCTTTTGTTTTGGGACTTTTTAACAACACCCTTTGTGATGGCTTCCCCATTGCTAAAGATTGTAATGCCCTAGTCAAGTCTTTTTCATTGATGTCCGTTTCATTCATTATCATTTCCATAGTCATCTTTTCATAACTGTTGAACAACATCAATATTGCCATTTGGTAAGTTGAAACTTGGAAAATATGCTTACGAACAGACGAATTAGCATTATTCATGCTAGTACCAGAGTTAGAAGACGTAGATACAACAGTACTACCACTTCCATTTGAACTTATTACAGACGTTGCACTATTCTCTCTACGGTTGTCACTGAAAATAGCTGTTAAATCGGCGGAACCTAATTGAGGCTGAAGTCGAAGTTGTCTACCATTATGTTTGCCCAGATAAAAAGTTCTGAATTCTTCATATGCCAAACGTGCTATGCTTGGTACATTGCACTTTGGAGTAGTTGTCGGTAATGGCCAAAATCCAGTAGTTAAAACACGAACTGATAAATCAATATTGTTGCAATTAGATGATGGCGAATTGGACAGGTACAGTTTGAATGATTCCATAATAGTATTTGACAAAGACATGTCTTTAAACATACCTTCTAGTTTGGAAGTAAATTGACATCCACATTCAGTTTTTAATTTTGAGATCATATTTTTCTCATTATCATCACTCACAGACTTGTTCAACAACAATCTTTTAGCTAAATGTTGTTTGTAGTATGTTTCAAAAACATCCTTATCCTGTAAAAATCGGAACAACACCATGGCTTTATCTAGCACAGGTTCTAGATCATTTTCATCAATACCACGTACTCCTTTTTTCAATTTGTCATCAATAAATAATGACATATATTCAGGAGACTTTGGGTTAAGATTTAGAAAATGTTCAAAATCCGAAGAAATTGTTTGTTTAAACATTTTATCACTTGCAAATGAATTATGCAAAAAATAATCCAATTTGTCTTTGAGATCTAATAAGYTTTGTACATATGTGACAGGATTTAAATCAGTCTCGTCTTCTTTGACTAATGATMTGCCTTCTTCTCGTAAATACTTACTTAGGCAGTCGGACATGGTTTTTAATCCGTCAGACAAGTTGCTAAGTAACTTGTACATACAAGCCAGATCTTTTGTTCTTTGATTCTTCAACATGAAAACAAATCCAGAGTTTTCCATTTCGACAATAGTCTTCATATGCTTTTTAATTAGCTCTTCTTCGACTACTTGAATAACACGGCTTTCTGTAGAAACATCTAGGTAATTTTTAGCTCGTTCAGCTTCTTCATTTATTCGAGATTCAGCTTTTTTAATATAAATGGAAGCACTGTTTTCAGCCAAAAGCATTTGACTTTCAACATTGTAAAATTCACTAGACTGAGCAAGGAACGGGCGTTCAAAATCTTCTTGATAAACTAACCTATTTTGTATACCTAATATCATAAGCATTTGACAGGCGTTCTTTAACGCGATACGGTCAATCACTTCACCGTTTCTTTCTTTCATCACCATGCTCAACAATGTCTCGCGTAAGTGATCTCGGATGCGGTCATGCCTCACAATTATGTCACGAAATAGCACGAGTCCAAGATTGTAAACACTATCGACTTCGTTGTTCTTCACATACACCTTGTCCATGTACATGAGGATGTCTCTAATCATGACCATTGAAGTTTGATGGTCCCTCCAACACTCATCCAGGGTTTGCAGGAAGTTGTTGTTTAAAGCAGAGAGGACATCTTCTCGCACCTTGGTCTCCAAGTGCGTGGAAACCGTATCCCTCATGCCATTGTACAAGCGTTCACCGTGCTTTAACAGTATCATAGTGTAGGCGTTGCGGTATAGCTCTTCGAAGCTCAGACATGAGTTGTTTTTCTTGTGTATCTCCTGTATGGCGTTTTTCAGCATTGCCCAGGTGGTGTCCACAAACTTCTCGTCAGTGCGAGACGGAAACGCCTTGACACGCATGTTGCCCCTCTTCTTTGGCACAGTACTGTTCATGATACTCGTGCGTCTCCTTCCCAGTGGATCACTACTCATAGTTGGCACGCAGTCACCATCAGAGCACGATGGTAGTCTGTCAAATGAAAATGGTCGAATGTATAAAAAAACATGTCACACCGGTCGGAACACAAATGAATGATCTAGCAGTACTTGATGGTGGTGGTCTTGGGATATTCTTCGAGTGCGGCTAAGGGGGATGAGGGGGTTGAAAAAATCGGAGACCATAAAAAATACCAGTAAGTACGAGACTCCGTTCTTCCTCTCCTAGTCAAACGATTGGTGAAAGTCGACTATTATTTCTGGACTACACCACAGTGGTACAACAAGTCTGATCGCAGATCGTTTTGCCGTCACCGCGGTGGACTCGGCAAGAACAGTGTTCGAATGATAGGCAAACGATAAACTAAAACTGATGCGGTGACATAGAGCAGCACGCTCGATTTCGGATGATCGGACACTTTTACGCGAAATGAAAAAAACAACGACCAGACGGATAAAAAAAAAAATCTCAACGCATTGAAATCATTTGACAATGTTTCAAAACATAAGAATCAAGAACACACTATCAGTATAATACTGTACACATATATTATAATTATTCTAGAATAATGTAGTATTATACAGCCGTCCACAGTGGTAGCGAAAATAATATTATAGTGTATAAAAGTAGGTAATAGGCATAATACACAATAATATTAATCTCTTTTCAGATTTAGACACGATTTTTACGTTGTTCGTTAGGTTATGTTGGTTATCACGAATCTGATTTTTTATTGTTCCATGAAAACTAAGGATAAATTCAAATAATATCATCCTCGTCGTAGTCACTCGAAAACGACAACTCGAAAAGCGGACGAAAGTCATCGCTCATACACGATTAATATTTGTTATTGACCATGTATTGTTTGGTTATATCGAAAATTATGTTCGTTGACGAATGACGGATTTTTTATTGATATCAATAATAATGATTGTGTATGAGACGCATAATAAATAATAATTGAGCTGGTCTGACAGTAACTTGAGACCGACAACCAGTGACCAGAGTGGTTGATTACCACTTAACCACTTTGTAATGTGCAGTCTGCGTTTCTGCAGCAGACGGCCAAAAGCGACGTCTACGCCCTACGGTGACCCAACAGTACCGACTAAAACATCTATATTCTACACTAGAACCATAGTTGGAGATTTAGGGATCCAGTTGTGAGAAGGTGGACTTGGCGTTAGCATTCATTAATAATACTCAATTCAAAGGTGTTCTAACTTTTAGGTAAGAACATTATCTATGCTTAAACGTAGGCGATTTGTTAATTCTATTTCAAAAGCAGAAACTTAAACGCAGATAATGATCATGAATACATAAGGTATTATGTATAAAAAAAATTAATTAGGTTTCGTGTGATTATTATATGTAACACAATTTTTTTCGGACTATGCACATGTAGAGAGTTCATAAGTTCTAATAAAAGAACAAATCTCAAGTTAATTTTAATTTTGACAAATTAAGGAACTATAAGAATATTTTCAACACTGATGAAATCTTAATGTTATATTGTTATAAACTTTTTTAACAAAAAAGTAATTAGTAGTAGGTTTTTTACCAAATAGGAAATTGTAAGTAAGGAATAGCCAGCAATAAAAAAAATAATTGAGATATGGATTTTATATACTTACTAATAGATAGAAACAGAAACTGGTTTTAAAACATAGAAGTAAATAATTATTATTACTTTTTTAATTCCATTTTACTTAAGTTTTACAATTTTACTTATGTTAAAAACAGACAATTTAGTACCAGACAGTCTATTATTATCAAATTACATTATTACTGTAACGGCTACCATTTGCATTTTCTTCATCAGGTTCTTCCTTTTTAACCATATCTGGATCATAATCATCATGAGAACTGTTGTAACCATCATATTCGTTATTGTAACTATCATAATTATTGTCATATTCTAAAAATAAAAATATTATTAATGGTTAAAAATGTTTTTTACAATAGGTACCTAAAAATTAATTTATTTTTAGTTTAAATTTAAAATTTGGTTAAAAAAGATCAACATGTCAAAAATGAATAAGCCAAAAAACATATTTTATCCATCATCTTAAACATGCAATATATAAAATTATATAAAAGTGAGGAAACCATTCTCAAAATTAAAGACAATAATACATTTTTCTACTAAAGTGTCTGAAGATATCAAAAAAAAAAAAAAAAACACACATCTAAAATAAATATTATACTAACCATCAACAGGTTCTTGTTTAATATGAATTTTTTCATCACGTTCAGAATTGTCTTTATCATGTTTATCACGACGATCTTTACTCCTGTAGATCATAAAATTAAGATTTAGTTTTTACAACTGCTACAAAATTAAAATAACACTTTACTTGTCTCGGCGATGATGATCTCTTTCTTTGCGATCCTTCTTACGTTCACGGTCTCTAGAACGACTACGCTTTCTTTTTCTTTCACGATCATGATCTTTATCTCTAGATTTGGTAACGGGAACCTCTTCAACTTCGTCATATTCTACATCTCTAGCACCACGGTCTCTGCTACGGCGTCTCTTGCGTTCGCGTGACCGTCTACAATAAAGTTTATATAAATTAATAAAATTATAATAACTTATCGGTATAAATGCAATTTACTGGGCCCCTATGTTCAAATTGTTTTATTAATTAATCGAGAAAACTTAAAATTCTTGTTAGGAATATGTAAAATCAACTTTAAATGACTAATTTTTTAATAAACGTTCAAACCTTAAAATTGGTTTTTACTCGGTCACTTTCTTAGGGTGTTTTCAGATAGAAAATTAAAAGCTGTTTTCAATTTGAGCAACTAGGAGCAAAGATAGTACTAACCAAACAAATCAATTTATTTATAACTGGGAAAATATTATATTTATTTGTATTTTAATGTTTTTTACAATATATTTCTGTATTAAAATAATGATTTATTGAGATGCAGTCATGACTTTAGCACTATTGGGTTTAGATAGAAAATTACCAAGAATTTAAAAAAAAAGGTGCCTGGTAAGGTATATTTGTATTTTTTATTGTATTTCAATCCATAAAGGTTCATAAAAATTAATATTTAAAAATGTTAGGTATTAAATCATATAAGTACTTAAGTGATTTTATTTCAATTAATAATTTATCATTCTTTTAAAATTTCAGTCATATTATGTTTTAAGCGACTTGGTAATATAACATTTTCACTATCAACAATAATTGATGTTAGATTTTAAAAGATGCCTATAACAAGTTGTATTATTAAAACAAAATATATTTAAAAAGTATTATCAAATATTTTATAACACAATAAACATGATACATTTTACAACAAAAACAAAACGAGTTTAACATGTTTTAAAAAAATATTTTTTATATAGTCAGTGATATTTATTACTTTTTAGTTTTATAAATGATTTTAATAAATATGTGTAGGTACAGTAGATTAGTATAAATATATTTAATACATACGACTTAGAACGATGACGTTTTCTTTCACGATCTCTACTACGAGGACGTCTCGGTTCACGTTCACGATCTCTATCTCGGTCACGATAATCACGTTCTCGATCTCTTTCCGTAGTAACACTACGTCCAGAACGACTACCAGCCATTTCACGAGCATACCTTTCTCTTTCTCGTTCATTATCTTCCCTACCTGAATGTTTCAAATTGACTTCTGGTCCACCTCTTCTTGTACCCCCTAAACCACCTCCTAAATTAATAAGATACAAAGTTATAATTTACTATCAAATACTTTTATAGTTACAAATTAAGTTAAAATGAATTTACCCAATCTTCTAGGAAGCCATCCTTTGACTGTGCGTGCTCGCTCAACATCCACCAACACTCTGCGTCCATCAATCTTTTTTCCATCAGCATGTTTATATGCAGCTATAATAAATATTATTGGGGGAAAACAATTAGACTGAACTTAGACTGTAGATAAAACCTTTGATGTCCTTAAGAAAATTGTAAATTGAATACCCAACCCAATTCAAATGTATGACAAGTTATTGAAATTCTTGAATAATATTTGTTCATTGAAGAGTAGATAAGATAGCACGGATTGTATCTTAAAATGTATTGAAACAAATTTAAAGTACATCAGAACCAGGTCTTACCAACTTCATAAAAACAAAAATGTAAATCTCGTAGAAAAAATTAGAAAATAATCAAATATTTAAGTACCTACCAATTATACTTATTTGCTATTCCCAGATTGTTTTTTTAGCGCAGTTTGAAAATGCCAAGTGAATCCAAAATTTGTCGATTTTTTTTTACTTTACCTGGGACGCCAATACTTACAAATAGGCGCAAAACTATTTTATTACCCAGTAAAATTAAGAATAAAAAGAATGTGTAAATGAAATAAAAATATCATTTTCTTCCACCAAATTCACATTATCTTACCTTAGCATATTCATGCTCGAAAGAATAAAATAAAATATAAAATATACTATTATTTAAACAAATAACATTACAGTTAACCATATTCTGTAATGTCACTAACATTACAGTTTACCATATTCTGTAATATCCCTAAGTTATGATAATATGACCCATAAGTTGATTTTTTTGTATATTAACTAATGTAAGATGATGTAATCTATTTCATTTAAATGAAAAAAAAAAAATTAAATAACACTTGTTAACTAATAAGTAAGGGTTATTGAAATAACTAATTAGTAATCTACATTTAAAAATGTATTATATTTGAGAAAATTTTTGGAAACTGAAAAGATGGGTTAATTTGTTTTGTAATTTGTATGTTGGGCTTACCACACATACAAACCTATTATCAACAAAGTCGTCTACGTATAATCACAGGGTCATTAAAGAAGCTCCAATCAGCGAGCTCTTCACAGTTCACTGCATCAAGAACAAAATACAATTATTAAAACTGTACCAGAATGTTTTTATTTTTAAATTTTGAATTTTAAAGATCATTGTTTTTATTTAAGTACGCGCGAGGGTTGATATAAACCAAGTATTTAAAAATTAATTTTTCATAACTGGCGAGTATTCAGATCTTGACATTTTGCAGAATAATCTTTAGTTGAATTTGAGGAGTAAATTGATTTTACCAGCCTAGCATATTTTAAATTCCAGTGATGAACATAATAAAAAGCACAATTGATAAAACATCTATTTGTGTATAGATTGTAAATTAATAAGCAGTTGTACTTTTTTGAACTTAAAAAGTTATTAAAAATTAGATGCTTTTTACTTCTAACATTTTTTTTTTTAAATTTAGAAAGGTAAGTATACCGTGTGTTCAATTTTAAAGGTAACAGGAA